GGTTGCAAGCTAATTGAAACGTCTACGGACCCAAGAGCCGCCAGTTTTCTCTTTCAGCGCCTTAGTGTGGCGATCCAGAGAGGAAATGCTCACTGCATCCATGATTCCTGCCCGCCATCTGAAGAGCTGGAGGAGTTCTACAACCTGTGACAAGTAGCCTTGTACCCTGCATGTAACCCTTTTAGTGTGATGAAGTTTTAATATATATATATATATATAAGAATCTTATATACTAGACACAATATATATAAGAATCAAACCACTTGACCTACAAGTATATGCCGACTGCGCTCACTACCACGTAACTAAACAAATATATAAAAACAATAAAAAGTAATAATAAAAGTCATTATTCATTTATATAATAAAATAATAATAATAATATTCAAACAAGTGTCATCATAAGTATACGCCATGCACCATCCATACGAAACTATTTACATAAAAAGCCAATTTGCGGCACAATGACGATGTGGCGAGAACCAGTTCGAACATTATCAGCACTGTTCCAATTATTGGTTCATGATTGTACGAGATGCCACCCGGAGACGGATATAGTGAACACTGATTGTGAGCAGGACCCTATTATAAGGAACAGTGATAGTGAGCAGAACCTTATAAAGGCCTATCAACCTCTGGAGGGTTATTAAGGCCTATCAACCTCTGGAGGGTTATTAAGGCCTATCAACCTCTGAAGGTTTATTAAGGCCCATCAACCTCTGAAGGGTTATTAAGACCTATCAACCTCTGGAGGGTTATTAAGACCTATCAACCTCTGGAGGGTTATTAAGGCCTATCAACCTCTGGAGGGTTATTAATGCCTATCAACCTCTGGAGGGTTATTAAGGCCTATCAACCTCTGGAGGGTTATTAAGGACTATCAACCTCTGAAGAGTTATTAAGGCCTATCAACCTCTGGAGGGTTATTAAGACCTATCAACCTCTGAAGGGTTATTAAGGCCTATCAACCTCTGAAGGTTTATTAAGGTCCATCAACCTCTGAAGGGTTATTAAGACCTATCAACCTCTGAAGGGTTATTAAGACCTATCAACCTCTGGAGGGTTATTAAGACCTATCAACCTCTGAAGGGTTATTAAGACCTATCAACCTCTGGAGGGTTATTAAGACCTATCAACCTCTGGAGGGTTATTAAGACCTATCAACCTCTGGAGGGTTATTAAGACCTATCAACCTCTGGAGGGTTATTAAGACCTATCAACCTCTGGAGGGTTATTAAGACCTATCAACCTCTGAAGGGTTATTAAGACCTATCAACCTCTGGAGGGTTATTAAGACCTATCAACCTCTGGAGGGTTATTAAGACCTATCAACCTCTGGAGGGTTATTAAGGCTTATCAACCTCTGGATGGGTTATTAAGGCCTATCAACCTCTGAAGGTTTATTAAGGCCCATCAACCTCTGAAGGGTTATTAAGACCTATCAACCTCTGGAGGGTTATTAAGACCTATCAACCTCTGGAGTAAAGCTGCCAGATTAAAGCTTAAACTATTAAGACCAAAAAATAAAATGAATAAAGCCAAAAACAACATATTTACAAATAGTTCTGATAAGTCATAGAAAACGCGTGGAACCTCTTCAACAGCGTCACTGGCACAATTAGCAGTTATGGAACAATAGACTTTATGTTATACAAAGTCTTTTTTTAGCCTTTTTGGTCAGATGATTGTTGTTGCATCCCACATGCTAGTCAAAACTAACACGGAATTTTGGTCAAATCTAACCTACTAACCTAACTTAACCTAACCTAACCTAACCTAACCTAACCTAACCTAACTTAACCTAACCTAATCTAACCTAACCTATCTAACCTAACCTAAACTAACCTAACTTAACCTACCTAACCTAACCTATCCTACCTAACCTAACCTAACCTAACCTACCTAACCTAACCTAACCTAACCTAACCTAACCTACCTAACCTAACCTAACCTACCTAACCTAACCTAACCTAACCTACCTAACCTAACCTAACCTAACCTAACCTACCTAACCTAACCTAACCTAACCTACCTAACCTAACCTAACCTACCTAACCTAACCTAACCTAACCTAAACTTACCTACCTAACCTAACCTGACCTACCTAACCTAACCTAACCTAACCTACCTAACCTAACCTAACCTAACCTACCTAACCTAACCTAACCTAACCTACCTAACCTAACCTAACCTAACCTAACCTAACCTAACCTACCTAACCTAATATAATAGATTATTATTGCTATAAAAGAACCAATTTGGAAGGAAATATTAAAAATATACCGCAAATTATTCTGTTTGTTAGGCACATCGGACGTTACATACTTGGCCAAGAAGTGCGGTCAAATCTAACCTACTAACCTACTCTCTAATTTCTTAGAGAGAGAGAGAGAGAGAGAGAGAGAGAGAGAGAGAGAGAGAGAGAGAGAGAGAGAGAGAGAGAGAGAGAGAGAGAGAGAGAGAGAGAGAGAGAGAGAGAGAGAGAGAAACAGACAATCCCCCCTGACTTTAACAGGAAAAAACAGAGAAGACACAAAAACTTAAATGAGAACAGAACGAGACAGAAGAAGGGGACAAAACAGAAACAGAGAAACGGACACAAACCGCTAAACGGCAGACAAACAACGGAATAACAGAGAAATATTGACAAAGGTCAATATATTCAATGTAACGGCATGACCACAGCGCTGTCGTAAACAGAGGGGAGATGAGAGGTGAGGGGTGAGGGAGTTTTGAAGGCGGGAGAGAGGGAGAAGGAGGTTATCTTGAGATGATTTCGGAGCTTTTTTAGTGTCCCCGCGGCCCGGTCCTCGACCAGGCCTCCACCCCCAGGAAGCAGCCCGTGACAGCTGACTAACACCCAGGTACCTATTTTACTGCTAGGTAACAGGGGCATAGGGTGAAAGAAACTCTGCCCATTGTTTCTCGCCGGCGCCTGGGATCGAACCCAGGACCACAGGATCACAAGTCAAGCAGGGTTTTGAAATGGTCAAAGGATTGGCAGATGCAGTTTAATGCTGATAAATGTAAAGTTCTGAGGTTAGGTAATGATGATAGAGTTACAAGATACGAGCTAGATGGTGTTGTGATTGCGAAGTCGGATTGCGAAAGGGATCTGGGAGTTATGATTAGTAAGAATTTAAAACAAAAGGATCAATGCATAAATGTTCGTAATAAGGCAAATCGGACACTTGGATTTATTAATCGCAGCGTTAGTAACAAGACACCTGGTGTGGTTCTCAAGCTATATCTTGCTCTAGTTAGGCCCCATTTAGATTATGCAGTTCAGTTTTGGTCGCCATATTATAGAATGGATATAAATTCACTTGAACGTGTCCAGCGTAGGATGACTAAGTTAATTCCCCAAATTAGAAATCTTTCATATGAAGAAAGATTAACAAAGCTTAAGTTGCATTCACTGGAAAGGCGAAGAGTTAGGGGTGACATGATAGAGGTTTACAAGTGGATGAATGGACATAACCGGGGGGATATTAATAGGGTATTAAAAGTATCAACACAGGACAGAACACGAAACAATGGATATAAATTGGATAAGTTTAGATTTAGGAAAGACTTGGGTAAATACTGGTTCAGTAACAGGGTTGTTGATTTGTGGAACCAATTGCCGCGTAACATTGTGGAGGTGGGGTCCCTCGATTGTTTCAAGCACGGGTTGGACAAGTATATGAGTGGGATTGGGTGGTTATAGAATAGGAGCTGCCTCGTATGGGCCAATAGGCCTTCTGCAGTTACCTTTGTTCTTATGTTCTTATGTTCTTAAGCGTGCTGTCCGCTCGGCTCCCTAGGTAAGAGATAAGAGGTCACCCCTCCCTAGGAGAGGTAAGGGGTAACAGGGAAGAAAGAGGAAGGGGATTTTGTAGGGTAGAAGGAGGGGGTTGAAGAAGGAGAATGAGCTAGAAGAGAAAGGGGGCATTAGGGAGCGGTTTTGGGGGGATATCGTGATGGCGGGGGAGAGTTAGGAGAGGAACTAGGGATGGGGAAACTAAAGAAAAGCGCGTACTAGGGAAAAAACTCTAGAATACATGTTAGTAAAGAATAAGAAATAGGGACTCAGGGGGAAGGAATTAGAGAGGGAGTGAGAAAGAAGAGGGGAGAGAGAGAGAGAGAGAGAGGGGAAGAGGGAGAGATCAGGAACACATTGCAAGCTGATCTATATGCACAAACTACATTGCGCATGCGCCGCCCCTAACCCCCCCCCCCTCTCCCTCTCCCCCCACCTCCAAATTGGTTGAAATAAACAGAAATTACTGTAATTTTTTTTTTTGTATACAAAGTTCATTCTAGTTTTTTCTTTACCAATATTTTACTCATAAATATATACTTTTTTGACCAATATTTTACTTATATACTTTTTCGACTTTTTTAAGGGGTAACGGATAATAGGGCGAATTAAAGGGGTAATATAAGGGGGGAGTTTTGATATTAGTTTTGAGGATAATGGTTGTTATTAAGGACATTTAATTACGTTATTTGTTGGGGGTTGAGAGCGAGTGACAGCTCTTGGACCCCGCCTTGCTAGCCCATCCACTCAGCCGCCTCAGAGCTTAGTCCCTGCAGGTTTACAGTTCTGTAATCACGAATGTTTCCAGTCACTTATGTAACAGCAGAAATACAAAATGTGAAATACAAAATCAGCTTGAGTGTGTATTTGTCAAATTTGACTTACACCAGGTAACAAAATGAATACAATGTATACTGACGTTCAAACGTTATTCAATTAGTGAACAATGTATGGTATACAGATGTATCCAGCGACAGTATGTATATTTTGTCAATGGAATATACTGGCATTGATGTATGCTGTTGGCATCAGTGGTAGTATATATTAATGGAAGTACATAAAGATGAAATTACCAGCGAATGTACATATTAGAGTACATAAAATGTACTGCTGACCTCAATGGTAACCCAAACAATGAAATAATGTCACTTTAGGGGAGACTGCTGTACATGGGGGGCATATTAGCCTGCTGACTTACCAGTGGTAATACATGGGATCCATATCTTCCGGTGCTCCTATCCAGGGACGGCACAGTCACACACGCTTCTAGTACCTCCTAAACGACAGCCAGGGACAGTATCCCCCGTCCCAGCCACCTGTCACGACCTGTCACCAGCGGGATTTGACGGTACAGAACCGGGTCACTACGGGAAATGTCGCACACCGATTAGCAACTCTAGTTGACAGACAGACAAGGGATGAGTATATATTATAGCCTTTTTGTAAAGGAGGGGAGAAGTGTTATACTTCTAGGAGCCTTTCTAAGGCAAGATAATCTCTAATTACACTCTAAGACACTCGTATGACCTCTAACGATCGTTTGTGAGAGGTGTAACGACCGCTCAAACTGCGGGTTGGGATAGTTGTGTGTGTGTGAGGGCGCTGAGGGGCTAGCCAGTCCTGGGGACGGCCCGGGGGAAGGGATGGGGGTGTTGGGGGAGGGGGTGGATGGTGGTGGAAGAGGGGGGCAGTGAGGGAGAGAGGGAGAAGAGAGAGAGAGAGAGAGAGAGAGAGAGAGAGAGAGAGAGAGAGAGAGAGAGAGAGAGAGAGAGAGAGAGAGAGAGAGAGAGAGAGAGAGAGAGAGAGAGAGAGAGAGAGAGAGAGAGAGAGAGAGAGAGTGTTAGTTCTAGTATTCTATGATCCGCTGCTGCATGGATGTTGTTAAACCACCTCTACCCCCTATTCCGTTTCTATCTGTCTCTCTTTCTCTATGTCTCTCCATCTTTCTCTCCCTTATCTCTCTCTCCGCCCCTCTCCTACATAGTTGCCCAATTCCTCTTTCCGTCTTGCATGGGGGACAAACTGCTTCGCTTCACTCCGATAACATCGCCTTAAAACCCCATTTTAATTCATTTCCCCGTGTGGCAAAACTTGCAGAATCATCAAGTGTTTTATTTTTTGCCTCGGGGGCGAAGAGCATGCGCCTATAATGGCCGTTTTAGGCTCGTGGCTTGCCTAATTTCCCAGCCTCCTCCTGGCCTACTCCCGCACCAGAGGAGAACCCAAACACCGGCTCCACACCCCCCTACCCCCCTCCCCGCCAGACCCCCACCCCTTCTGAATTTTTTGAGCGAAACATTGCGGTTATGATCGCTCGCTCCGTGTTCTGTGTCACCACAGCTACAGGCGTATAATATGACCCTCCACCATCCCGTACCCCATGGAAGCCGCGGCATTGATAGATTCTCAGCCTCCAATCCCAAAAATCTAGTCGCGGGGCAGGTGAAATAGACTTAATTAAACACAGCTGCGGCGCGCGAAGCGCGCCGCAACGCGAGCGAAATGTGGCGAAAAGTTCCCCTTGAGCTGTCTGGCGCGGCTCGAGTTGCCAGTTTGCCTGACAAAGTTAAAGGGAATATAGCCTTCGAGAGGAACGTAACACAGCACAATAACCCACCCTCTTGCCAATTGAATGCACGTATGGCATTTATCAACTCGGGTTATAGGCCTATCACGCCGGAATGCAAGACAAGTGCCGTCTCTCGGCCCCAATAATGGCGAACACGGTGGACTCCCCCGATGATGCCAGATGAGAGGTCTTCCTTATTGGCCAGGCAAGCACCTACAGCGATTCAAAATATCTTTTATTTTTAATCGACATTATTATCCGTTCGTAATAATAATCCGGATGAAACCGGCGCCGGATTACCTAAAGCTAGCGGTAAATACTCTATTATGAGGAAGGAGGGGGGAGGGATCTATTACGATATCTATTTATAACGATTTAGGGTATGTGAATAATAGGGGGTGAATATATCTACCTTTTGGTATAGCAGGTCTATAGCCTCGGGGTATATCTCTCTGGTATACCTGTCTCTAGGAAGGGGGGGGGGGGAGGAGGGGGTATGTTTTGGGCTGACATTTCAAGGTTTGGAAGAGTTTATTGCGCATTTGCTGCACTAAAAAAGTAAGACGACTCATTCAGACAATGCTACCATATGTAGCGTAAATATGTATGTACATAGTAAAGTGTACACACATATACGCATACAGCTGGTAAAGTGTACACACATACACACATACAGCTAGCTAGAACGTACACACACACAAACATGCACACACAGGTAGAAAGTACACACTACTACACGCAGAGATTCTTTCACCTGATGCCTCTGGTCACCCCGAATGGCACAGCTCACCTAGTTGTGCGAGGGGGCAAGGGTTGAGCTCTGGCTCTTTGGTCCCGCCTCTCAACTGTCTCAACTCGCCTGTGTGTGTGTGTGTGTGTGTGTGTGTGTGTGTGTGTGTGTGTGTGTGTGTGTGTGTGTGTGTGTGTGTGTGTGTGTGTGTGTGTGTGTAATAAATTAAATAATGAAACAGGTCGGGAGTGAGTACATTAGACAGCCGACGGTTGCAAAATGCCGGGTCCAAGAGCTAACAGCTCGGCCGCTGCTGGTACGCGTAGATACACACACATACACACACACACACACACACACACACACATACAATAGCCTAACTTTTCCCGACGTACACACACGACTAGAGACGTACACATGTGTACCTCCGCTCCCCGCTCTATGACCGTCACTCTGGGAGAAATATTCTCCTGTTTACTGTGTGTGTGTGTGTGTGTGTGTGTGTGTGTGTGTGTGTGTGTACTTGCCTATTTGTGCTTGCAGGATCGAGCATTGACTCTTGGATCCCGCCTAGGCTGTGTGTGTGTGTGTGTACTCACCTAGTTGTACTCACCTAGTTGTGTTTGCGGGGGTTGAGCTCTGGCTCTTTGGTCCCGCCTCTCAACCGTCAATCAACAGGTGTACAGATTCCTGAGCCTATCGGGCTCTGTCATATCTACACTTGAAACTGTGTATGGAGTCAGCCTCCACCACATCACCCCCTAATGCATTCCATTCACCCCCTAATGCATTCCATTATGTGTACTCACCTAATTGTACTCACCTAATTGTGCTTGCGGGGGTTGAGCTTTGGCTCTTTGGTCCCGCCTCTCAACTGTCAATCAACTGGTGTACAGATTCCTGAGCCTACTGGGCTCTATCATACCTACATTTGAAACTGTGTATGGAGTCAGCCTCCACCACATCACTTCCTAGTGCATTCCATTTATTAACTACTCTGACACTGAAAAAATTCTTTCTAACGTCTCTGTGGCTCATCTGGGTACTAAGTTTCCACCTGTGTCCCCTTGTTCGTGTCCCACCCGTGCTGAAGAGTTTGTCTTTGTCCACCCTGTCAATTCCCCTGAGAATTTTGTAGGTGGTTATCATGTCTCCCCTTACTCTTCTGTTTTCCAGGGATGTGAGGTTCAGCTCCTTTAGCCTTTCCTCGTAGCTCAATCCTCTCAGTTCCGGGACGAGCCTGGTGGCATACCGCTGAATCTTCTCTAACTTTGTCTTGTGTTTAACTAGGTATGGACTCCAGGCTGGAGCTGCATACTCCAGGATTGGTCTTACATAAGTGGTATACAGGGTTCTGAAAGATTCCTTACACAAGTTTCTGAAGGCAGTTCTTATGTTGGCCAGTCTAGCATATGCCGCTGATGATATTCTTTTGATGTGGGCCTCTGGGGACAGGTTCGGTGTGATATCAACCCCCAGATCCTTCTCTCTATTTGATTCTTGCAGGATTTCCCCTCCCAGATGATACCTTGTGTTCAGCCTCCTGCTCCCTTCGCCTAATTTCATCACCTTACACTTTCCAGAGTTGAACTTCAGCAGCCATTTTCTAGACCATTCCTCCAGTTTATCCAGGTCATCCTGTAGTCTCTGCCTATCTTCATCCGTCTTGATTCTTCTCATAATTTTTGCATCATCAGCAAACATCGAGAGGAATGAGTCTATACCCTCTGGAAGATCGTTCACATATATTAGAAACAGGATGGGTCCAAGTACTGAGCCCTGTGGGACTCCGCTGGTGACATCTCGCCACTCTGATGTCTTCCCCCTCACCGTTACTCGCTGTTTCCTGTTGCTTAAGTACTCCCTTATCCACTGGAGCACCTTCCCTTTTACTCCTGCCTGTTGCTCCAACTTTTTTAACAGCCTTTTATGGGGTACTGTGTCGAAGGCTTTTTGGCAATCCAGGAAAATGCAGTCGGCCCACCCTTCTCTTTCCTGCCTAATTTTCGTTGCCTGGTCATAAAATTCTATTAACCCTGTGAGGCACGATTTACCATCTCTGAACCCATGTTGGTGGTGTGTTACAAAGTTATTTCCCTCCAGATGCTCTACGAGCCTTTTCCTCACGATCTTCTCCATCACCTTGCATGGTATACAAGTTAAGGAAACTGGCCTGTAATTCAGTGCCTCTTGCCTGTCACCCTTTTTGTATATTGGGACCACGTTAGCTGTCTTCCAACTTTCTGGTAAGTCTCCTGTTTCCAGTGACCTGTTATACACCATAGAGAGTGGCACACTTAGTGCTTCTGCACCTTCCTTTAGTATCCATGGTGAGATTCTATCAGGCCCAACAGCCTTTGTCACATCTAGTGTGTGTGTGTGTGTGTGTGTGTGTGTGTGTGTGTGTGTGTGTGTGTGTGTGTGTGTGTGTGTGTGTGTGTGTGTGTGTGGTTCTTCCTGCTCTCTCCCCAAACTCACTCACTGACCTAGAGTAAATTTTGTTGTATAATTTGGTTGTATAATCGTGTATTGCCCCCTCGCGTGTCGCCTATCAACTCTGCGAGTACAAGTCTCGCTAAATATAATGCCGGGGAATATCATTCAATTCTGTTTATCTAGATTTATTTCTGTTTCAAAGGCATGAGGTTTTTCTAGACTAGCCTTTGAGATCAGCCTTCAGCTATTATCCTCTGGAGCGTTATTAAGGCCGATCAGCCTCTGGATAGGGTTCTAAAGCCTATCAACCTATGGAGGGTTATCTAAGCCTATCAACTTCTGGAGGGTTATTAAGGCCTATCAACCTCTGGAGGGTTATTAAGACCTATCAACCTCTGGAGGGTTATTAAGACCTATCAACCTCTGGAGGGTTATTAAGACCTATCAACCTCTGGAGGGTTATTAAGACCTATCAACCACAGGAGGATTATTAAGACGTATCAACCTCTGGAGGGTTATTAAGGCCTATCAACCTCTGGAGGGTTATTAAGGCCTATCAACCTCTGGAGGGTTATTAAGACCTATCAACCACAGGAGGATTATTAAGACCTATCAACCTCTGGAGGGTTATCTAAGCCTATCAACCTCTGGAGGGTTATCTAAGCCTATCAACCTCTGGTGGGTTATCAAGACCTATCAACCTCTGGAGGGTTATTAAGACCTATCAACCACAGGAGGATTATTAAGACCTATCAACCTCTGGTGGGTTATCAAGACCAATCAACCACAAAAGGATTATTAAGGCCTATCAACCTCTGGATGATAATT